TGGAGCCCTGGCCCAGGCTGCCCAGGGAGGCTGTGGAGTCTCCTTCTCTGGAGATATTCCAGCCCCGCCTGGACAAGGTCCTCTACAACCTGGTGTAGGTGACCCTGCTTCGGCAGGAGGGTTGGACTAGATGACCCACAGAGGTCCTGCCAACCCCTCCATGCTGGGATTCTGTGATCCGAAACAGCTGTGTGTTCAGGTTGCTGGAGCCCAAGCTCCTTCATCCAAAGTACTGTTGCTTTGAAATAATACTTCCTTGCACTTACCTTCTGCTTTTTTGTTGCGTTGGTTTGTAGCTGGGCTCAGCAGAGGCGCCTGGCCACGCGTCAGAAGGTGAGCTGGGCACCCCGCGGAGCAGCGAGTAGCGTGGGTAGAGGTCTCGTGCAGCCGTACGAGTGGTAGCCAGGGATGAGTAGCTGTCTGGTGGCTTCTGTAGTGACTAGAAGAAGACTGAAATGAGACTGGAAATGCAGTTTTTGTTTTTCAGCAGTCATGATCTTGCTGCAGCTTTTGCCCTTCTCTGTTGTAGAAGCTCACCCTGAGGCACGTCAACAGCAACCAGTGTCTGGACGAGCCGTCGGAGGAGGACAAGATGGTTCCGACCATGAGGGAGTGCGGGGACAGCCGTTCCCAGCAGTGGCTGCTGCGCAACATGACCCTGGGTGCCTGAAGTCGGCGCGGACCCGCTGCCTCGGCCACGATGTCCTTCTCCTCTTCCTCCTCCTTGCCTCCTCCTCCTTCTCCTCCTCGCGGAGGCCAGCGGCGCTGAAGCCCTCTCCAAATCCCAGCTGTCAGATCAAAGTCACGAGGGGGTTTCTTTGGTGTGGTGAGTCTCCACGTGCTCCTTCGAAACCTGTGACCTGTTGAAAAGAAGCTCATCTGAGTCTATAAATGTCAAAACCTGTGCTGTTATTGACACAAATGTGCTCAAAAATGGCTCCAGAGAAACCCCCTACATCGAAGAGGTTGGGATGGAGGGTGTTTTCTGAGCACCACACAGCACTGCGGAGATGTCACCCAGTATGACATGCCCTGTGACACTACCTGGCACTGGGGAGCGTCCTGGCAGGCATCTCCTGAGCTGGATGTGTTGGTGCTGGTCTGTCTTGGCGACCTGGCAGGGATGCTTGCTGTTCTCTCGTGTCGGGTGGGACCCGGTGAAGAACCACACTGAGCAGCAAAGTCACCAGACGGAGGGAAAGCTTTGTGGTTTGTGCCAGGAAAAAAGTGGGATCCAGTGTCTGGAAAAGCAGCAAAGCTGAGCAAGGACTGCACTGGGAAACTGGAATTAAATCAAACGAGGCTCAGCAAAAGGCTGGGAGCAGAGTGAAGAAGGAGGAGAGACACACGTGGGTGACTCAGACCAGCGTGGGTTGAACTGTCCTCGGCAGCAGGAGAAGTGGCTGGGGCTGACGCCTGCGGGGCTCAGGGGGGTTGCAGATGGAGGGTCCAAAAGCCAACCCTCTGAGACCGCTGCAGACGGAGGGTTGGGCTGACCTCGGTCCCTAGCTCCTGCCTGTAAGCATTCGCATATCCCCGCGCCCGGCATCAGACACGGACGAGAGCTCCATCCCCTGCGCTCGGCGGGTGGAGCGGGGCCGACGCCGAGTTCTGGCTCCAGGTGTTCTTGCTTCGATAGCGATGACAGATGCTTATTTATATTTTTAATGATTTTGTGGCTTAATCATGTTGTTAGCGTGGTTATTAAAAATACGCTCGCGGTGCGCAGCCGCGTCGGAGGCTCGCAGGAAGTGATGCCGCGGCGGGGCGTGGAGAAGGCTCCTGTACGTACTGGTGACATCTCCTATAGGTACTGGTGACGCTTCCTTTGGTGACCCCGACAGCACACGGTCCCCAAAGGGCGTCCGTTGCGTGACGGGCTGGGCTGGGTATTTGGCAGCAGTCAGTAACTTCCCACGGGGTTCAAGAGACCGAAATCCCAGGGCGGCAGCCGCAGCCTGGTACGGCACGGGTAGGTGGTGAGGTGGTTTCCCCTTCTGTCACCCACAGTTCCTCAAAAGGTCTGTTTATGCACCAGGTCATTAAAAATGACAGTATTTTTCTGTATAATGCTCTGGTTGTTATGGATGAATAGTGTCCTATATATGTATCTATTATAAATTTATAGACCATCCGTATTTTCTTGATACACATCATTAAATGAAAAATAGAAGGATATTAAATGGGGAAAGTGGTTGCTGTGCGTGCGTGGGAGCTGCAGTATCACGGACTAACTCGGACTGGAAGCTCGTCTAGTCCGGCCTCCCTGCTCGAAGCAGGGTCAGACACTTCCAGTCCTCGTCTCCAAATCGCCACGGAAGTACACGATACGGCTCAGAAGGCAGCGAGAGAGGGGAAGGCTGGAATTCTGCTGCGTAGAAGGAGCGTGCAAACCAGTCTCCACCCAGAAAAAAAATTTAAAAATTGTTCATTTTATTCTTCTTTCCAAGGGCTTTTGCCACGTGCGCGGCCACGCGTGCTGGTAGGTCGTGTATCCAGGCACTTGGCTTGTGCCCGTCACTGCGGGAGGTTGAAGGTCCCGCGGCATCCGGGAGCAGCAGGAGACGGTGGTGCCACCTCCCCTGGGTGCCTCCAGCGGGAGGGCGAAGCCGCCGAGCCTCCACGCAACCACGAGCTGTGCTGGGCCTGGTGGGAGGTGATGGCAGGGTGCAGTGGCCATGCAGCTGTCCAGCCTCAAGGTCCAACCTCAGAAACAGCTGCAGAAAAGAGCATTTTTCTCCTTAGAATTAATTTAAAGGTGGATATTCTTACCTAGTGTGTGGTCCCTGGACGGAGGTGGCAGGGTTGGAGTACTGGGGTACGGTCAGTGCCCGCACTGCCGTCTCCCTGCTCGGGAGATGAAGCAGGGAAATGCCTTGGGTTGTGCTTATTTAGGAGCAACATCCCGTGCGTCCCATCCGGCCCGAGCAGAAGGATCTCTGCAGGCCTGCTGCACGCTGGCAGGGTGGCCTGGCGTCGAGAAATTACGCTCAGACCTGCAGAAAAGCGCGGAGGTACCTGCCCAGCTTCGGTCCCATGGGTGTCGAGTGGCCGCGCCCTGGGTTTGACTCCACGGTGAGGACGCAGAAGCTCCGTGAGTCTCGTGGCGGAGGGATTTCACACAACGTCGCGTCTACGGAGAGGGATGTGGTGATGGGAGGGCACCTCAAGTGCTGGGACCATCAGAGGTGGTCGGTGGTGGGGTCTGGTGAACTGGGTGTAGGGTTGGACTAGATGACCCACAGAGGTCTCTTCCAACCCCCACCGTTCTGTGAGTCTGTGATTCTGCAGCTGGGCCCCAGCCCTTCCTCCTGCTGCTGAGCTCAGGTGTTGCCTTGACAAGTCATCTGGGCCAAAATCGTTTCAAGGAGCTCATTTGGTTGCCTCTGTTGGTGAGAGCCTGACGTTCAGGGCCCACCAACAGACCACCGCCATAGAGCACCAGTCGGTCTTCGTTTCCCCATTTATAAAATATCTCACAAGGGCGTCGGGAGGATTGACCTCTGCTTGCACAACGTGTTTGAGATACGAAGAGCTCTCCCGGTGCGGAATATTTGTGGTTTTCACTGGAGAAGCGTCGCTGGTTGTCACCTTTCGTAAGACTTGCTTTGAGGAGGGGAGAGCGAGCTGTAGTGCGGGCTGGCGGCGGCAAAGCGACCGTTCTGAAGAGCGAGTGGAACCGTCAACGCTGGGCAAAGCCGTGTTCCCTTCTCCCTCCTGGTGCCAGCCGTCTGGGGAGAGGACACCAGGACAGATGACACCAGGAGCTGGGCAGCCAAGAGCCTGCCCGCGTCCCCACGGCCAACGCAGCCGGTGAGGCTACACCACGCGTAACCTGCGAGCAGCTACCAGCTCCTGCCTGGCTGATGGTGTTGAGCCAACACCAGCCACGTGCTCTGACACTTCTGTGGCTGTCCGTGTCCGCGCTGCTTCTCCGACCCATCACAACGTCCAGCCAGAACCGTCACTCTGGTAGGTGGCCAACCCTGCTTTATTTTATTTTATTTTTTCTCTGCGAGCACGTGTTCAGGACGGCTTGGTAAGTGGTGCCTTGCGGAAAGACCGTGGAACTCTGAGATGACATAAAGTTGATTTAAAAAAAAAGTGGGAATTCTGCTCGGTATCAAGAAGAAAAGACTGAGGTGCGGTGGGTTGGAGTGGGCGCTCGCAAGGGCTCCGGATTAAGCGCTGGGAACACAAATTAAATTTATAAAAGTAGATTGTGGATAAAAGAAGATGCATTTTAAATGTTGTAACAGTTATTAAATGGTATACCGGTACTCTTTGCTGTACATTTCAATATTTATACATTTTTGTAGAATTAAAATATACTGGTTTAGTTTTCTTCTGCTGCGTTTGTCCTTTGCTGTGTGTCCTCCCACTTTATACGGTGAAAACGCGGGCTTGCCGCTGCGGCCCCGGTGTTTGCCGACCCGTGGTTTACCCAGAGAGGGGCCGAGGCGCCTGCCCATCGTGTCTGGGGAGAAAACAAACACAATTCAGTGGGAAAGGGGTACTTTCCACATCAACCCTGCGTCAGCCCTCCCAGAGGGGCCGGCTGGACGGCCGTGTAGCGCGTCCTCACAGCACGGAGCTGTGAGGGAGAGAAGGAGCCTGGTGGGACCCGACCGGTGAGCCCCGATGCGATGCCTGGCTTTGGGGGTCAGGAGCTTTGCTTTTTTCGGGTCACATCTGGAGTCCTGAAGCGGCTGGGTCAGTCCTGGTAAGGAGGGAGGAGGGAGGATAGTTTAAAAACAAAGGATTTATAAGCAGAAATTAAAATTAATCCTCAGGAGACTGAGAGGGAGAGAGGAGTTCATGTTATCACTCCAGTGGAAGTGATTCCTGAGATATTTTGCCACAAATAATAACATGCCAATAGTGAATTGTTTCTGATTTTACTGTTAATTGCTGGGCAAAACCCAGCCTTTTTGCTACTAGTCTGAGAAAAAGTTACTCAAAGTGGTAAGAGTGCTGTAAGCCACAGAAGATTAGGTAGCCTTCATCTGCGTTACTAGAGAGTTACTGGCAAATTACAACATTGAAGATGGTAAAAGGTTTTTTTATAATAGCGCTTTCGGTTTCCTCACTCATCCCGCTACGCTGTTGCCGTGTCCTTTGGTCAACTCATTCGCGAGAGTGCTGCCAGGTGATGTCTCCTTTAACCGGATTACGTCCTTCCAGGGTAGCGTCCTCGCTCATGCAACTACAGAGAAAAAGATGAAATCCTTTTTCTCGAGGTTTACCTGCGTCAGGTTGTCTGCACAGAAATGAGTGTTTGTGTGTTTGTTTCTGATGAGCCGCAGTTTACACGAAACATTCGTCGCGTATGTGCGATTAAAGAAAAGAGACTGTCAAGTTTCTACTCTGATTATTAAACCATCTTGCAAAGATCCAATTAACTGTAGAGCTCATGTTAATTACAGTATGCGAATCGTTTGAATGAATCATAAAATAATCTGTTTGTGAGTAATGAATGCAGACATAGAGGTATTTTTTTTGCCTTTCTCAGAAATGTTAATGACGAGGACTGATTATAGAGCTAAAATTGCAGTGAGGGAGACCACCCACATCTTGTTTTCCATAAAAACTGCATGTGTTTTCATCTGTGCTTTTGAGGTCTGTTTTGGGGTTTTGTGGAGCCCCACAGGCATGGCTGGGGGTTTGGGACAGATCCCGTGCTGGGCACCGCTGCCGCCCGCTCAAACTGGGAGTCCAGTCCTGAACTGGGAAGTATTTTCGCCGAGTGAGGATGGAAGGATCTGCCCTAAAATCCGTATTCAGGCAGCTTGCAAGCCCGTGGGACTGGATGACACGGGTTTGGGGACTGTTTCTGTAAATTCTGGTCAGAAAGAAATAACTTCATCACTTTCTTTGCCATCAGCTCACCCTGCTGCTCGGACAGAATCACAGACTGCCAGCATGGCAGGGGTTGGAGGGGACCTCTGTGGGGCAAATAAAACTTTCTTCCCAAAAGGAGACCTCGGCTAGGTTATTTAAGATGTGACGGGAAGGGAAGAATTTCTGGACCTGTCTGTGCTGACATTTCGAGCTGAAATAATTGGGTATATTTTTAGCTGCCTACATTCCAGCAGAAACAGAACTAACTGCACATTTTCGCAAGGTGTGAGTTTATTTGGGGAAGAATTAATGGCTTGAGACTTCAAATAGGAAGCTCATAAAAGCCTGCGAATGACCTAGGGTCAGCTGTCTGGCACTGTAACTTTGAAAAAATATTTATAAGGGAAGTCAAAGAGCTGGAACAACATACACTTTTTTGTCTCTTTGTGGCCTGTGTGAATCTTTTTTGTTCCATCAAATGTCACCGTTGTGTCTTTCAAACTTGAGGACGAGTGGTGTAAGGTTGGAGGGCGTGCGGGAGCCCGGCAGCGGGAACAGGAGGCCACAGTGACCGCTGCCCCACCGCTGGGCTCCCGCAGGAGCAGGGCTCCTGCCCTCGCCTTCTGCCGCCGTTTCTGGTGTTCGCCCTTGGCGTTGTCCCTGAGGTCCCGCAACCATCTCTCAGGCTCTTCTGGTCGCCTGGGTGCTTCCCTGCGTCTTGGGGTCTCCTCCAGGCTGCTTGTCTTCACACTGAAACTGAAACCAGGAAAACACATAAGGACAGGACAGGATAGGAGAGAGAAGAGAGGAGAAGAGAGGAGAAGAGAGGAGAAGAGAAGAGAAGAGGAAGGGAAGAGGAAGAGAAGCGAAGAGGAAGTGAAGAGAAGAGGAAGTGAAGAGAAGAGGAAGTGAAGAGAAGAGGAAGCGAAGAGAAGAGAGAAGAGAAGAGAGGAGAGAAGAGAAGAGAAGAGAAGAGAAGAGAAGAGAAGAGAAGAGAAGAGAAGAGAAGAGAAGAGAAGAGAAGAGAAGAGAAGAGAAGAGAAGAGAAGAGAAGAGAAGAGAAGAGAAGAGAAGAGAAGAGAAGAGAAGAGAAGAGAAGAGAAGAGAAGAGAAGAGAAGAGAAGAGAAGAGAAGAGAAGAGAAGAGAAGAGAAGAGAAGAGAAGAGAAGAGAAGAGAAGAGAAGAGAAGAGAAGAGAAGAGAAGAGAAGAGAAGAGAAGAGAAGAGAAGAGAAGAGAAGAGAAGAGAAGAGAAGAGAAGAGAAGAGAAGAGAAGAGAAGCTGGCAAAGACCTACAACGATCATCTGGTCCAACTGCCTGACCAATTCAGACCAAAAATACTAAAATATTAATTTTTTTTTTCTTATTGAACTCACGGTCACATCTTCAGAACAGGGAAAGAACCATCTCCAGAGGGTTTTTGTTGGCGTTTGTTGGCTTTTCCCCTTCCCACGGGCAGCGCAGCAGGGTTTTGCCTCTGGACCGGGCAGGTCGGTGCTCTTGGCTGAGCCGCAGCCTGCCCGCCAGACCACAGGAGGGAAAATCTTTTCCAGCCCCAGTAACGGTGTCTGACAGCAACAGCGTTTTATTGTCATGATTTACACTTGTTTTATAGGAAAAATGGGGAAAATGCTAGTTTGCTAATAGCACAGATGGGAAATTTAGAGACTGAGTGCTTGTCTCCAGCTAATAGCCATCTATTCTCTGTAGAAAATGATGTTTGCTGCGTTTCTGCTCTGTTTATCTGAAATGAAGATTGATTTCATTTTCTCATCAACAGAGCTGTATTTTTCTGTAACCTGCCAGCTTTACCCGTGCATCTCGGTGAACCATTGCTCTAGACTTGAGTTAGTTGTAAGTATGTGCCGTGCTGTCTGTCTTTTAGGACACTATGGTGGCCATTTCTCTTTCCTTTCCCGGAGTCGGTTTGAACGCGCTCATTCCTCCCCAGGCCTTTGAATGTCTTCTTACTGCATTGCACTTCTTTTTAAAATTCCAAATGACTGTTTCCGTTCGTCAAAGCATTTTAAATCCTAGTTTTGTCCTCGCTCTTCTTGCGCTGCCTCTACAGTTGGTGTTGTCTGTAAATTTAATAACCCTGCTTACACCTCCTTCATCTGTGGCTTGACCCTGAACCCAGAGCCGGTGCTGCACGCGCCCC